AACAAACTGCGGTGGATGAAGATATTCTTGCACTGTTTGTCAAGATTTTTGTCTGAATGATCTTTTACAGTTTCAGACAAAATCTGTGATTATTTTGTAACACAGCTGCAGATATATCATGTCATCTTCATGTATGTTTTTCTGAAAAGGTCTTAAAACTCCGTTCTCACAATTTTTAAATTGCCTTGTATTGATATGCTCACACGAAGCTAGAAGCAGGGAATTCTAACCTTCGTGTGATTTTCAGGTCAAGGAAAGGTGTCTAAATTTGATATATTCAACACTCTGACTCTATATGGAATTGGTTATCTTCTTGTAAGCACTAATTTGCATCTTGTTTATTTACATGCAACAGTCGATGCTAGTTTTCTTCAAGCCAATTAAATTTGGAATAGCTTTCACATTGGGCAACTTGCTGTCACTTGGAAGGTTTGTGTTTATATGTTGTTCTATGTTCTGATTAATGCTTATTGGGACGCTTTGTCGAAAGCTTTCCTTGGCTTATGGTGTATACCATATCTTCCATTCTAGTAACTCTCTTTGCTTTTGATTGAAAGTTGTCTCCTATTTTATGAAATTTTATTCGACATTGCAGTCAGCTAAATATGTCTTGAATCCTATTCATATGTGATAATATTCTTATTTGGTCTTGTTGGTTTTCACAGTACTGTTGTTTGGTAAGTGGGTGGGTGGTAAGTGCTGATAGGTTTTGACGGTTGCTTCATGTGATTTGTGAGTATGATTCTCCCAGGAATGTTAATGGAACTTTTGTGCTTGAACTTTATATGCTTATTAGAAGAAAGGGGAAAGGGAATAGAATATGATGAATCCAACACTGCCCTTAATGAGACTTACATCTGTCTCGTCTCCAGACGGAAAGATGCAAAAATAGTGCACGATTACAGACCCATCAACCTCATTCCATGCGCCTACAAAATCCTTGCCCGTGTCCTCCCAGAAAGACTTAAAAAGGTACTTCCCCGAACCATTGCTGACCATCAATTTGATTTTGTAGAGGGGAGACAAATTCTGGATTCCGCTCTCATAGCGAATGAAATTATTGATGGGTGGAAACCCCGGAATATGGAAGGTGTAGTGATCCAGCTTGATCTAGAGAAGGCGTTCGACATGGTCAACTGGGACTTTCTTGATATGGTGTTGCAATTAGGGGTGTAAGTTTGGAACCGAACCGACGAACCGAATCGCTCGGTTCGATTAAAATAAAAATCAAGTCGGTTCGGTTCGGTTACACCAAACCGACCTTTATAAACACATAACCATAGATTTACTCTCTATGTTGCGCTGTTTACTCTCTCCCTCTCTCTTCCCCAAATGCTTCTCCCTCTTTCTCCCTCCCAAATGCTTCTCCCATCCTTTCCTCTCCAAATGCGTCGGCAAGAAAAACATCCACGACTGTAGCGACAAAGAAGATCTACGGCGGCGACAAAAGGAGATGCGTGACGGCGACGGTGCAGCGGCCTCCCTACGCACCGGCGAGCTAATTGATTCACGGCGGAGTAACGACGAGATGGTTCTGATTTTGAAGTGGATTTTCATGGAGGTCGCTTTTGATGAAGAAGATTCTAAGTGGATTTTTTGGATTGTCATGGAGGTCGGTTTTGAAGATTAAGATTTGTAGTGGGTTTCATGGAAAGAAGATTTGATTTTTGTGGGTTTTCATGAAAAGAAGATATGAAGAAGAAGATTTGATTTTTGTGGGTTTCCATGGAAAGAAGATATGAAGAAGAAGATCTGAATTTTGTGGGTTTTAATGGAAAGAAGATCTAAAGAAGAAAGAAGATTTGAAGTAGGTTTTTGTGGGCTTTCTAAGATCTAAAGAAAGTAAAAAATTGAAGTGGGTTTCAAAATCAAATCAAGATTTGTTTAGATTAAAGTGGGTTCAAAATCAAATTACACTAATTTTGTAGGTTTCTTTAAATTTTATAGTGGATTTTTATTTTAAGTGAGATTTCAGAGATGGAGAAGACTGAACAACCCATGAATAAGAAGGAGAAGAAGAAGAAGAGGAAAAAAAAACGAAGTTGACCCGATCCGACCCGACAACAACCAGAACCGAGCCGACTTGAGTTCGGGTCGGTTCGGTTTCTTGAGGAAACTGACCCGACCCGAAATTATTACACCCCTAGTTTCAATACAAAGGTTTTGGGGTGAAATGGAGGGAATGGATAAGGAAATACATCTCCACAACAAGCTTTTCCATTACGAGGGGCAAATTCACGGCCACAAGAGGATTGAGACAAAGGGATCCCCTATCCCCTTTTCTATTCATCATGATCACAAACGTCCTTAGCCAGCTGCTTCCCATCGGGATTGATGAGGTCAACTCTTAGGTTATGTATCTAGGTGTGGTTTGATTAAAATTAACCATCTCCTTTTCGTAGATGACACCCTTCTATTCACCAACAAGGATCCCTCTAGCATCAAAAATCTCCACAAAGTCATCAAGTACTTTGAGATTGCCTCAGGACTCAACATAAACTACTATAAATCTAGTGTATTTGGCATCTCCATTAGCCCACAGATCACAAGCCAAATCGCTAAGGCATGGGGCTGCTCATCTGGGTCATGGCCAAGTACTTACTTGGGTCTACCACTGAATGGAAACCCCCAAAAAGAAGCTTTCTGGCTGCCAATCGTTGAAAAGCTACGGAACTGATTATGCAAGTGGAGCAAATTTCTAAAGGGGGGAGGCACACCATCCTTCAAACTACCCACATACTACCTCTCTCTCTACAAAATCTCGGGCAAAGAAGCTGAGAAGATGGACAAGATCTTCAGGGACTTTTTGTGGGAAGGGCCAAGTACTAATGGAAAGCCTCGCCTAATCAATTGGAACCGTACACAACTCCCTTTCAACCAAGGAGGCCTCGACATTGGTAACATAACGCACATAAATCGTGCTCTACTATCCAAGTGGGTTTGGTGCTACACAATCGAATACAACCAATTATGGAGGGAATTCATTTATTCCAAATACACATGATCCTCGACCATTTGGCTTGCCATCTGTTACTCCAATTGCAAAGGGCGTGGACTGTGATTTTTCAACAAAACAGCCTCATTTGCCGGGTGGGACAAAGAAGCCTGATAAGCTTTTGGAATGCCAAATGGCTTACAGAGGGAACCTTTGCCAGCCTCTTCCCATGCCTTTATGCTTTAGGTTCGATCAAGGGAGCGACAATCGCAGACCACAGGTCCAAAACTACCTCCTCATGGGACTACAGCTTCTGCAGGCCACTCAAGGATGAGGAAATTAATGGTTGGATGCGTCTATCACACATACTAAATCAAATTGTCCCTCCCCCTCGGGAGGATTTATGGATGTGGTCCCATGAAACCTCCAGAATTTTCACCGCTAAATCAGCATTCATAATCTTAAACACCTCCGACCCCCACCTGACCCCACCCTTTATCCTAGTCTATGGCAAGGAAGATGCCTTGAGAAAGTAAAGGTCTTTTGTTGGGAGCTTAGTCACAAGGCGATAAATACGCATGATAGGATACAAAGGAAGCTCCCTCATATTGCTCTCACCCCTGGTTGTTGTCACTTATGCTTCGGGGCATCGGAGACACAGGGCCATCTCTTCATCAATTGTGTTTATGCTACTCGTTTTTGGAGCCGCCTCCTCTCGACTTTTGGTTGGAAAACAGTCCTACACACTCAACCATCCCTTTTCCTTGATTGTCTCTTGGCGGGTCATCCATTCAAAAAGGAAAAAGCTACCTTTTGGGTTCAACTCATTCGGGCATTTGTATGGAGTCTATGGTTGGAGAGGAACAACAGGGCCTTCAATGATGAAACCCTCACTTTTGATATCTTTTTTGATAGAGTTATTATCCTAGCTCTTGGTTGGTGTAAATGTTTCTACTCCCCCTTCAATAGCTACTCTATTAACAATCTTATTATAAGTTGGAAGACGTTCTTGTAATTGCCCTTGTGGCCTTTTATATATTTCATACCATCAATAAAATATTTGTTTCCTAAAAAAAAAAAAAATCTTCAACTACCCTTCTTTTCTTTTGAAGTTACCATGAGATAAAAATGAAAGAATAAAGGGGCCAACAAAAACGCCACAGATGTTCCTTGCAGTTGCTCTTGAAAAGTCCCGAGCCTCAACCATTTTATGCAATACTAGCCCATCCCCTTAGCATCTTCCAATTTCAGCCCATTCCTTTCATATTTTTCTACAGAAAAATTAGGGCACAGAACCTTTACTGCCCCTCTTTTCTTCTCCGACCATCTGAAACGCAGACGACGGCACCACCACTCTTGCAGCTCCGACCATTCTCTTTGACCACTCCTAATTTCGCCAACAAAGTCTTCCATCCATCCTCTTTTTCTTTTCTTTTTCATTTTTGCCATTATTTTCCACTTTCCCCGAGCTTCACAGGTTCGGCTTTTCGTCGTTACTTGCCACAGATCCACCCATGGTCGACCTCTCTTCCGACATCCCACCTCCGTTGCACGTTGCATCTCCCCCGTTTCCTCCGTTGCACGTTGCATCTCCCTCGTTTCCCCGTGCCCAACCTTCGAATTTCGCCGTCGATATCTTTCCAATCGCATATGAGCCTTCCTCCCCGATATTCGTTCTCTCTTCTTTTTCTGTCGCTTCTTCACCGAAAAACTACCGTGTAAATACGATTCAGCCATACTCGGACTCGTGCTCGTCCTTTTGGGATATTCAATTTCTTCTTCGTTCTTCCTTTTGCAATTTCGTTGTCGTTGCATTCTTTCTCTCCTCCTTAGCTTCTTCATACTCTGGTAAGGGCAGTTTTTCTTCTCTGTTATTTAGGTATCCTTGCACGAAGACACTCCCAAACCTTAATTGATTTTCCTTCGAGCTTCGATCCACGTTCTTGGGTTTGATCGCCGTCCTCCAGCAACCTTTCGTCCCTGCTTTCGGATGCTCTTTCGAATGTTCCTTGCAGTTGCTTCTTCCTTTCTTGATCTCTCTTTTTCCTCTCTAATTGTAAACCCTTCTTGCATTTCTTTCTTTATTTGTCTCATCTCACTCCAACCTTCCCTCATTTCTCTAAACATTTCCTGTAACTTCATCACTGCCTCGAATGGGAGATCCATGGCCAGGATGAACTACCTGAATACAAGAACCTAACAAGAGGACTATATTGCAATTCAAAAGATAAACTACAATATCGATAGCCTTTCGAGAGGGCTATCTCTCTCCCAAGAAACTCTCTCAATTTCCTCACCGAAATACTATTCTCCAAGATATCTCCCCTCCCTCCCTAATACTTCTATTTATTACCAACTAACCCTTAACTAATTACCATAACACCCTTAACTAATTACCATAACACCCTTTAACTACAATACTAATTACTAATAATGTCAATTATAAGAAAAATAATTCTCTTGTATTCTTTCAAAGGATTGATACAAGACTATA